GAGAGAGAGAGAGAGAGAGAGAGAGAGAGAGAGAGAGAGAGAGAGAGTAAGAGTGATAGACAAGACGCATTGACGAAAAATGTATGCAAAATCACGAATTTTATTTCGATTTGTTGTTGTTGTCGTCGTTGTCTTTTTCAGCGTCGTAGTCATTGACGTTTTCGTCGAACAATGTCATTGTTGTTCTCGATTGTTGTATATTTTATTTGAATTGAATGTATGCGAGGTTTACCTGTGGGAATGAAATGTCTAGCTGACGCCTTTTAAAATTATATAAAAATAAATCACCTTAAATGAGGCAGAAATGTTTATTGCGAACAACACTTTACGTACCCACAAACGATTATACCAGCTACAAGGCACATCGTTAGAGTGGAAAACGTCACGATGACGACGACGACGACGACAACAAAAACGCCATCTAAAAGCAGCCATCACATTGTATCATTTGATGCGGCTTTTGCAAGTCTATTTCGTAAAATTACCGAAAAGTCGACGCAATTAAAATCGAATGATTGCAACAATTATAGTTCGAGATGTGAATTGAAAACGAACGAAAATTTATCCACAAAAAAAAAATGTCGCAATCAGTGTTATTCTTTATTCAGATGGCGTTGTGTACATATCGCCACCATATCGTGCCGATGTCAATGAGAAAGATCTTTGCTCCAAATGAATGATAAGCTTCGTTTGTCAAGAAGTTTACCCAGCAGAAAAGAGAATTGTCTCTTAGTCTCTTTGCCAAATGTACACACCATTTCGGTTCGGTTTGTGTATTGATTCATTTAAAAGTCTTATCGCGTTCAGACACGTTTTATTTGACGCAAGCAAAACCTTTGCAAATAATTGCTTTTGAATGTCGACACACAACCAAAATATACGAAAAATAGATGCCACGATTCAGATCATCCCATTTTATTCGAACCAATAAGAACAGTAAACAAATAAAATATATGAATATGCACTTTTCACATTTCATATACGCACGAACACACACACACACACACACACACACACACACACACACACACACACATACATTTAGAAAAGCATGTCGAACGATATAGATATCCATTGACAATGCAAAAAAAAATATCAACATTAAAAGACCCAAATCAAAAATTACACAAACAATCTTTTTTCGGCATCTTTGAACAATACTGCTCGGCCAACATTGTTCATCATACCGTCACACATTCGATTATAGAGCGTGAATGCACGTACTGCCCATAAAATGATTAAGTTATTTTTCAAGTCATTTACCGCATTTAATATATGTGAAGTGTTATTGTTTTGTAATTAAAAATCATATTACATTCTTTTTGCGGTGAGCGACTGCGTGAATTTACTGTTATTAAAGCTTTAAATTTAAAACGTCCCATGTACTCACACACACACTATATACGCTAAGCACATATGGTACACATTTTCTCTCGGCACATTTTCCAAAGCACACATAAAATGCAAATGCATATGCCAAATACAATATAAATAATAATAATAATAACAATAAAAATTCCAACGAATTTTGTGTTGTGTGCAAAAACATGCATTCTTTTTTTTCTGTCTCGGCATCAACATTAATGAAAATAATACCGAAAAACTCAGATTCACATTCCAATTCAGCACAACATACACGATATGCAATGAAGATTGTTTTCAAAATCTGCCAACAAAATGAAATGAATGCGATGAACAAATAAAAAGTCATTTCAGCGCTTAATGTTTCACATTTGGACAGCGTTAAAAAGAAAATAACATTTGCTTTAGTTGAGATAAGGCATCCATCGTCCCAATACAACTACTACAAAGTACCGAATGCTGTAAGCGCACCAGCTTTCGATAAACACACGCACGCACATATTTCAAGCGCTCGAGTATGAGATGTAGCTATGATTTCTTCTATATATTATGTTTTTTTTTTGTCTTCGATTGGTTGTCTCTTGCATGTTGTCGTTGTGTTTCAGTGTTCGAGTTGAGTGTTTTTTCTCGCCTCATATACCCCAACCAGTACACGCATAACTGTACAAGAAAATTGTGTACTATTTCGTATTCGTTTTTCTTGCTATCAGGCACAAAAAAAAGTGTAGAAAAATCCACGCAGCTACTCTACAAGCCCGAAGTATTTCGCCATCGCATATCTACACAATGGATAATGCAAATCAGAAATAATACTCTTCGTACACAATGTACACTTGTTCGCGTAATAAACCTATTAAAGTTTTTTTTCTCTATGTTTTTTTTTGTTGTTGTTGTAGCCATTCTAAGTTTTATTGCTAGCCATGGCAAAGTGGTAAGCTACCGGCAAAAAAGGAACTTAGTGTGCATTTTTTTCTGATCTTCTACATGGAAAGTGAAAACGAACGAACGAGAGTCAGAGAAGGAGAGCGAGTAAAAAAAACTACTACTAAAGAACCGTTTTACCACTGTGTTGTATGTGAAGATAACATCTAAACGAGTACGAGGTCGAGAAAGGGAAAATTTGTCTTCATGAAATTTAAAACTTTTGCTGAACATTCTATTTTGATATCATTTTAGCGCATTTTTTCTTCTCCTTCTTCTGATGTCGAATTTGATGAAAGAGTACAAGGAATTTCTTTTTCTTTTTTATTTCTTCTTTGTAACTCGGAGAGACCACAGTTGAAGTAAAGTTGGCATTGACTTAAGTGGGTAAAAAACATTGCGGTCTTGGATGAATATTCGATGAAATTCAAACGTAAAATGTGCAGAAATATGAGAAAAAAAAATAACGGAACTGAAAATAACGTTTTAACACACTGATGAAACCTTAAGTTCTTCTTTCTTTTAAGTGTTTTAGCATCCTTATTAAGCTGGCAAATGTTGATTCAAGTGTTGTGTCGTTGACAACATGAATTGTTTTAGCCACGATGAACAAAAACATGATACGTTTGTCTACGGTTTCGTTGTTTGTCCAAGCTTCTATCGCTGGTATTGTCATTTTTTTCTCTTTAAAACAAAATTATTACTCAGAGTCACGAAATCTTCTAAGTAATCGAAATCAAATGTTTCGGGCGATAAAGTGAACGATCAAAAAAGTAAAAAATAAAACACACACACACACACACACAGATCTCATAATAAATGTATTTCGTAATTTTATTTACTGGCCCAATATTGTCGAAAGATACTCTCGAAACAGACAGCTAGAATGAAAAAAAAATGAAATCAGAGAAAGACCGAGACAACGCATATTGAATCGTTGTATCGTTGAAAGCAAGTGAATTTGGTTCATTTCTTTTGATTAGTTATTTAGCCCGATATGGAAAATGCCAGTGAATGAACAATTGGATCATAATTGGAATGAAAAAAGAATTGTGTGTGTGTGTATGTGCACACAAAATAAAGAAAGAAATCATTTCTTATTCCATTTGTCTCTAACAACCGGCAATTACCCATTCCTCCGCATAAGATCGCTCTTTATGACCTGCGCCCCCTCTTTCTGTCTGTTTTTCCGTTGTACATTGTGTTTCGTAAATAACGGTCCTTATATCATTGAAATGCTATTGTTCATGGGATTAATTGGTGATTGAAATAAATGGAATGCCCGAAAAGAGAAATTGAAAATCTTATTAACGAAATTCGTCGAATACTATTTTTGTCAATGCATTTTGTGAAAAGTGAATGATTGCGACAACGAAGGAGGTTCAGTATGAAAGTCAAATAAAAAAAGCCTTTTCGAATAGCATAGAAATGTATTCATTCTATTGTAGACCGCATATAAATGTTTCAAAGGATCAACACGTACGCATCGTTTCGCATTGTTTTCGAATGAATGAAGAACGAACAAAATTGCAACCTTTCACCTATAATGAGAAAAAAGACTCATTCAATGTGTCTCTCTATTTTGCCGCCACTATTAACATTTCACATTCTTCCCTTCGCTTTCGAACGGTTTCCATACATTTTCATTTAGATAACATACATTTTTAATCTCAAGTGATACGTTTCACATAAACACGTGTTATAACTGTAAAATAACACATAAATGATATTAACCTAAAAAGCTTTTTCATAATTCAGATTCTCGTTTATTTGTTGGCTTTCAACATCCAACTCAATGCAAATTGTTACACATAATCCAATGTCATTACATCTAAACCATAATAGTTAATGATATCCAGACTATCAATAGGGAGAAAAGAGAAAAATAACCACGTTGGTAGCGTGGGTGGCTCATACATACCAAATATAAAAAAGAATTTCTGAATATCATCAAAATGTGGTATTTCTTTGAATTTTTGGATTATTTGGATTCAAAGAACCAAAATTATTAAGCTTAAAATTAATCATCAACAATTTATTTTGTTCAAAATGGTGTCTATCGAAATCGACAATGCAAGCCACCCTCAAGCTATTTTTATTTACGATAATTTTTAGCAATTATATTTTATGTGTGCAGATGCTTGAAAAATATTACTTTGAAATTATGTAAATGTGCACATTGTACATGTACACACAACATGAGCCATATATTTTCCTTTCATCTACAAATGACATGAAAATTATACATGGGGCCGTACACGCAACGTGAATATTAGAGAAACTAGCACAAGAATGACGTCACAAACGAAGTCAAAACATTAAGAAAGAAATAAAATTCAATTTTTTTTAACAACTTTTTTTTTAATAAGATTATAGTTGACCATGTCCAAGCTTTGTTTTGTAAAATAAACTACTGAGAGCCAACTTCAAGCACTGGAAATACTAGCTGCACTAGAGTTCCGTGTATGGCCCCATGTTATTATTTAAACAATTCATTGTGGCATGTTATTTTGTAAATATTTCAGCAAAATCCCCGAATTTTGAAAAATAAATTTCCCAGCTTTCCTAATAGCAAATTCATTGAATATAAATAATTAAGCGTTCATATTATTTTCCATGCATATTAATTCTTTTAATTTGTTCCATGTTTCATTGTCCCCTCCCCCTCTCTCTACCATTCAAAGCAAAATGTGACTTGGTGTATGTGAATTTATTCATGTTATCCAAACGCCAAATCAAACTACACACACACGCATTAATTTACACATATATTTTTTACGCATTCAATGTCGGTGGCATTGAGGTTGTATGTGATCTTTTATATCAAATACAATGGTGGTGTAAACAAGCCCATAAATTATGTGCACGGATTATAGGATCGGTGAAATGTTTACGGAGTAAAGTCTTTCGGAAATCATTTTCTTGTATTCGAATGAAAATGCACGCCCATTTAATGATGTGCAAGTGATTTTCACTAATAGAATTGTGTACTTCTCTCTCACTCTCTCTCTCGCTCGCTTCCTTCTCAGCGAAATGTGTGAGAAAATGGGAAATCCGTTAACGGTATATGTATTTATCGGCCCTATTTCCGAACATTTTTCATGTTTTAACGGAAATTACTAATTAAAATAAATGAATTTTGTGCCATTAAGTGAACAATACATGGACTTATATTCAATCAAAATAGTTTTGTATTCGTTGAAAACAGTTTGGTGGAAAATGAGAAAATGAGGTGGGAAATTGGTTCTATTGAAAATTAAAGCTTTTATAAAATAGCAAAAACCAGTTATTTAACTCAACAAAAACCACCAGCAACATTGGCTTATCGGCTGATGTTGCATCAGTTAAAAGTAACAGTCAAAACTACTTACCCGATATATTCCATAAATAAGCGCAATGCTTAGAACAATCATAGATAATTGTGTGCCAATTATGATAAAATATGCCACTTGAACACCTGAAATGAAAATGACAAAAAATTCGCACAAAATTCATCGTTATTTGAGATAAAAACTTTATTTATGGCGATAAAGCATTGAATAGGAAAGTTTTGTGTGTATAGAAAGCAATTATAAATTCTTGGGCACAAAAAAAGTTCTATTCAGAAATGAATAACAAAAAAATATGGAAACAAATTGCTTTAATTTTTTCATGTTCTGTTTTTGTCCTCTGTTTCATATGTTTACGAACTTAAAAGCACGAGAATATTATTTAAGCAAAAGTTTTCTATCAACTTACCGTAATAGACATCGCCCAATTCATTGGTTTTCTTCATGTTCATGCTGATTCGCCAAGCGTACACCAAAACAACGAAAATCGATATATTCTGAAAAATTGAAAATACAAAAATGAAAACGTTAAATAATATCAACGAAGAAAAGAAAAAAAAATATCAACGAAATGGATAGCAATAAAAATATGAAAAAAGAGAGTTCGTTCTCTTGGTTCCCGAACCACCACAGAAAAAAAAAAGTTCGAAAAAATAAACGAAACGTAATAAGAAGAGAAAATAATTTTGTTTCGATTTCATTTGTGTATCATTAGAGTTTGTGTTATTCGGAAATTTTAAGCATTGTCATATTTTGTCTGTTGAAAAATCGAATTGTATTTGTGACGACTTATTGGATATTATCTCTTCATTAGTCTCATTCAAATTGATACAAAGTTTGTGCATTTTGGATGTGTCGATGAAAAGTGATAGAAGGACAATGGTGGCGATTTTGTTGTTGTCTTCTTGCCTTTGTGTGAATCAGAAAAGGAGATAGTTTATCACTTCAATGCTTGAAAAATGTCGTCATGTCGAAAAAGTTCGTATCGTATGGCGAGACTAATAAAATATCAGTGGTTTTTCTGCTATGCTTTTATCATAGTGGCACGCTATATGTTTATCATCATGAGCTCAACTTTCACAAACATTTTCTCATGAAAATATTTGCTGTGTATTTTCCGTGGCAAATAGCACACTTTTTTGCTTTGTTTGCTGTTTCTATCTCTCTGCGTCTCCCCGTCTCTTTTTCAATTTATAGTTTTGTTGAGAATGCGAAATGGTTACTCTATTGAGGATAAAAAAAATCACACAACAGTAATGATAGTTCACTTGTCAAACATAATTCTTGCCGAGCACTCAAAAATATAGAATAAAATTTTGTGGATTTGTATCAAATATGCGTTGTCAACAAAAAACACAAAAAGTTCCGCCGTTGCTGAAATTACCACAAATATGCATGTTTGCGGGATTTTATCGTTGGTACGCGCTTGTCAGCGGCGCCAACGCGTGTGTATGTGTGTTTTTTTTCGGAGCGCTTATTATAGTCGTAAAATAATTTGCGGGTTGACACTGTGTCACCTACTTGTGGGCTGTAAATTTGTGTGTTTTACATACACCAGCTGAAAAATAGTTGCAATAAATCGGATCTATCTTTGAGTAAAGGGTTTTTCTTGCTTTTTTTTGTAACCCATCGATTCGTTCGTGTCAGCGCTCAGTGGCAATAGTGCATAGATACTAGATAGCGGTGATAGATGTTGCCACAAAAACCATTACTGACAATTTCAGCGTGCAAAACATGTGTAGCACACTCATGCACATAACACATCGACTGACACAATAAAAAATTAATTGATATTACGAACAATTTCCCAAACACATACACATGTATACTTTTTTCATGTGATGTGCGACATTGAGATGGTCGCAAAATTCCTTTTCATGTTTTTTGCCCCCAAATGCACGCATTCAAGTACTAATAATTGTTTGCAATTCATACAAACAAACGATCAAACAAACACATGAAAAAGAAAAAATGGAATCGAGAATGAAACTCTCTCTTTCACACAAAACCTACATTTATGTGTTTTTCAATTTATCTAAAGACTGAAAACTGTTTCATGCACTCTGTCTCACTCTGTGTGTGTGTGTGTGTCTCGTTCTCTGGGATTTGTTTTTTTTTTCTTCAACATTTCGCTATTGCCTTTTCCATTCCATTCCGTTGAATGGTGATGTGTATTTTTCATTTTATTCTTTGTCCACGTCTCTTCTCTCGAAAATCGATTACTAAGCAAGTGAATGAAGCGAATAAGTAACATTGAAAAGCATTCAATATAAGGGTTCAACAGAGGAAAAAGAGAGCGAGAGTAAATGAATGAAAAAAGCGAAAGGGAATGAAAATATACAACGATGGCTATTTTCCATTTGCTCAAAAAGCTTAAAATTGACGACAGCACTATGGCTACTTGATTCCGACTGTCCGGTTTTATGATACACAGACACATATGTGGTACGGATGGGTATATGTTTACGCTTTTCTGAGGATGTGGTTATGTCAACAAATAACAACAGCAATGGCACAACTGACTGTATGGCCCCAGAAGCCAGCCATAGCAACATTACATCGTTCGCAATCATTGAAAGCTTCGGTAACCATCCGTTATTCTTCTTCTTCTTCTCCTCTATTTGATGTGCATTCAAATAAAGGATGTAGAGAGGAAAAAATACATAAATTAATGCAAAGAAAAAAAAAAGGAAAAAAGTAAATGGCGATCCGAAACAAAACAACAAGGAAAAAAAATACATCAGCAAATAACGATGCAGAGACTGCAAAACGAACGAGCAGACAGTGTATGTGTGCATGGTAAATGTGTCTATGGCGCTTATACACAAACTGGTTGAAAGTTTCGTTTGTTGAAAGAATGTAAATTAGTATTGGTCATGTATAACATTTACACAAAGATTGATCAAATAAACCTGTACATAAAGATCGAATGATGTCGCCCACTTTGGTTTACTCATTCGGTCTAACTGTCATTGTATGTTCTCGCCACACATTGAAGTGACCAAGCAGTTGAAAAGATAAACAAAGTAATGGGACACAGTCTCTGTTTAAACGATATCAGTTGAAAAATTCATGTCTTATTGGACCTGAAAAATAATATAATCTACATACACCCATGGACAATTCTCATACAAACGGACCTTACAATACCATCAGAGATAGAGAGATATTTGCATCGGCATGTATGCTAATATCATGTGAACACATCGAATGAATTCCGGGCATAAAGTAATACTATATTCTAGTTTATACTTTTGAATCGCGTAAAGCAGGGATATCCAAAATTCAATCTGAGCAGACAGCCACACACACGTTTTCCACAGCCACACACACATTCCGCAAAATTCCATGAAAAAACAGGAATTTTTGGTGAACCGGATTTTTCCTAATGAATACGTACGGTTTGTTTGTAAAATAATATTTTGTTCTTTGTACGTCAAATGCTTGTGGATCAAAAATCCCGAGATAAAAAATCAGTTCATTCAGATTGTACAAACGATTCGTTCACAACTCTGCCATAAAGTCATTGCAGTGTTCGTGAATGGTACATATAATCAACATTGTTTTTTTTTTTTTTACTGTGACTACCTATCCTCTTTAATGTGCTCGGTTTTACAAAACATTTACTCACATATACGGTCCGGTCATCATCGAATTTCTACCCCATCTCAAACGAAGCACCTATTCCATTTACACCATCACCATTTATTCCCTTTTTTTACCTTTTATATCATCGTTGGTCTTTTTTCAGTTATCTTTCGAATTTTATCGAACTTCACATTTTCATTCACATTGTTTGATTCAATTTTTTTTCGGTTAATGTGCCGAATATCCATGTTACTTCTTGTTGTTCTGTGGTCATTTACAGTCTTAATCTGTATGAATAGCATTTGTTTGTGTATGACACGAAACGATTGAGAAAGAATGTGAATATGAATCTTTGGTTAATGCAGATTGCCCAAGCGGTGCATTTTATGCATTGTCGAATGAATCAAAGTTCGAGAATTGCATGATTTATCAATAAAGTGTATGAATACTAAGAATCGTCATTTGGAAGTTAGATACTTTTTAGTGCATGATAAAATTGGCACTATAAAATTGGCGATAAAAACTACTTCGGATGCTGATAAAATTGGCACTAAAAGCCAGGGATGATTCACATGTAGGCATTTTGATAGATTTACGTTATTGTGAGCTCATTTATTTTATGTTGGTTTCTCTCTCTCTCTCTCTCTCTCTCTCTCTGTATGTCTATCTGCTCACATATGTGATATACATAACACATCCGTTCATATACACGCTCTACTGTTTCTGGTTGGTGTATCGTTTGTGTTGTCCTTGTATTTTGGATGAGTGAAAAGCATTCATGTGTGTTATTTTTGCAAAATATTTGCTCGATAGCTCTGCTTGCATATTCAATCGTGAGAGATACACGAATGCAATTTTGATTATTTCATATTATACCGTATGTTATGAGTAATACATATTCAGCGTCATATAAATCAAGCTCGCAAAACATATTGATCGGGGCAAAAATAATTTCACACTTGAGTGTTCACTTTGAAAAAAAATCACACTCATTCAATGGAACCATTGAGAAATGAATATAAAAAAACAAATCGGTGACACATAGGTAGATAAAATCATTCTCTGTCTGTGAAAGCAAGCAGGTGAAATGATGATTTGGTGTGACACAGGAACATGTTTGGCTTTGATTTTATACTGTGGTAGTCGTTCTATTCAAATTGAAATTGGTGACGAAAACTATGGAGCGCGAGTGGTGAACATGTGCGCAAAAAGCGTGACCACCGTTTTCATCATCGCTTCCGGAATGTCATGTGCTTGTGTGTGATCTCATAACGTCTATCATTTTAATTTAATTTGAAAGCTTTATCTTGTCATTTAATGCACGCGCAAAATCTGAAGCGTTTCACTAACAAACACTTAAGAATACATGTTTACTTAGAATACAATGACTTGTTTACGATGAAATCCAAGGCAAGTAAAACAAAATTTAAACGAAAAAAAAATAAAATAAAAAATATATGAATAATATTCTGTTTAGATATTCTCTTTTCGAAGTGAAAGTGTGACTCACCAGTGTGTAAATAGCGCTGGATAAAGCCAAATTTTTTGCATGAACAATGCGACAGCATCTGCTTGTTGGACCTCTGGTTCGTGTGTCTAGGTACAAAAGGGCTGATTTCATTTTTCTCCTATTTACATTTGGCATTAGAACGGATATTTTGTTTCGTGTCTCTTATTTATTTCCCTTTTGGATTTGGGTGTTGTAGTTTTGGAAGCAATGGAAAATGGTCGTTTCTCTATTTTGTCCCGTTCTTTTTCTTCAATCTCTTTTTATTCTTTTCCCAATTACGAATTTCCGTACAAAATACGAAAAACTTTTGAGCCAGAGTGATAACAAAAAATATATCGCTCGAATTCGTCGTCCTATTGGTGGTGGTTGTGGTCGTCGTTTACTCCGTTTCAAAGATATATATTCGAAAGGATTATGTTGCTTCACTTCATTTTCGTACATCAAACGCAAAAGTGTTCGTTTAGTGATTCATCGATTCATTTTCTATCTATCAGCTTTTAATATATCTTTTTGAATTTATCCTTCGTCAAATCCCAATGTTTATTCATAGCAACAGGACACCTTATTGAAAGTGGTTATCTGCAAATAGAAAGTTAAAAAAGAAATGCCATAATAATCAAAATGATCGAAAAATATATAAAAAAACGAATGAATGGAATCAAGTGAATTTTTTTGTTGCCATTTTGCACGTTGCTGTTTTCATTAAACATGATAAAGAGATAGCAATGAAAATAATAATCAACTGGTATAATTCATCATCAAGCAATTCATTTCGGAGGCGATAGTGTGTGAAAAGACATTGCTCTTTGCTGTTGCCATTTCTATTTACCCATCTTTATCGCACGCTCATTCGGTCGCTCGCTTGCTCATTCGTTCGTTCGTTTCAATTTATTCAATTTGCCACTTGTATAGGATGAACGAACAAAAAGACAGAATTTTCATGCAAATGTCAAATTAAAATAACATGCGAAAAGACCACTCTTGGCATGCTACTCGCATCCGTTGCATTAATTTAATATAGTTCACTTTGGTCATGCTTTCTTTTGCACTTTTAACGAAAGAGAGCCAATGCGAATGGTTCGCGTTTAACTCTGATTCACACTATCTATTTTGTCATGAACGCGCGCGATCCATCGACTTTCTCACTGTTTATATCTCCTATTTATACATCGGTCTCATCGTTCGCCAAACAATGGTTCTCTGTGTAAGTGTTTGTGTCTAATAGAAAAGAATAGAGAGAGAGAGTGAATTCCACTCTAGCGGACCGGTTACAATTTCATGATAGTTTCCATGTATAGTTTATAAGAGCTGAATGAGAGCGGAAATAAATTTCCTGTAAGAAGCATGAGAACATTTAAATAGAAACTGTAGAATATATTGGATGCTTTGTATGCTGCTTCTCCAGCTACCGCTGTTACGATGTAAATCATTTACACTTGAGCCATCTGTATTATTTTCCTTGGACAGAATGGATCTAAGCACTTAGACGAAGAAAAGAACGAAATGGGGAAGATGAACAGAAACAAAAAAAAAATCTAAAAAAGGAGAAAGGAAAAACACGCGCAAATACAACAGAAAGAATGCAAGAGCGAGAGAGAGAGAGATGAGTGAAAGAGCATTACCATAAGGGCTGCACTTTGGTAAAAATGCCACTGAAGCCATTCAATGAAGACAGATATTGAAGTACGGATTTGTGGCGCTATGAAGACCAAATGGGCGTAAGCAACCCCGTTCTTATGCCTGCATTTGTTTATCTCATACCACAAACCAGCTTAATGGATCACGTGTAGATAAAACTCAATAAAACGTACCTACAATCTAGTTTACTTAAAACACTTAAGCGACTTGTGGATGTTATATATATATAAAAATGAAAAGAGAAAAAATGTAGTTGTACACACTTTCAAAAAGTGATGTGGAAACTTGCAAACAAAACCATTGTGTCTTAAATAGTGGAATAGAGTATTCAGCTTACGCACATTTTTTTTTACAAATTACGTGTAATTGACTTGAGAAGAAAAACCGAAAAAAACTATTCGTTGTGCTGGTACTGAATATGCATTGCAAACGGGCTGAATTTTAAACAGAGCAAATGTTCTGTGCAGCCCAACTCAGCAACAGCATACATTCATTGGCATAGCAGACATAGCATTCTGGCCCCACACGCACACACTCACAAACACACATACAACTCTCGATGTCAACAATGAATTATATTCATTGTATTGGCATTGCTACTCTTGAACTCTCTGAACTATGGCAATAAATATCTTAGGCTTATTGGCATTTAAACGTGAACATTTGGTAAATATTTGGACTTTTTTATACTTAATCGATTATTTGTTCACTATCATTTGAAAACATTTTTCAACCATACCACGGTCACCGTCAAAAAATTTCTCGTTTTTTCTCATTCGGTGCGGCTGATTGAATTTTCAAACATGGAAAATGCAATGAGGAAGTTGAAGTAAAAAAAAAAATCTGCGAGACGAAAAAAAACGTGCTCTCGAAATAGTTATATGGTGCTTGAAAATTGTCAAGAGTATCTAGAGTCTTGGAAATGTTTGCTGTTATATGCTCTTAAGTCTTGACCATTAGTGAAATTGAAAGAGTGATGTGAACAAGAACAAGTCGCTGAAAGCAAAGTGTTTCATTTCTTCGTCCGATTTTTTTACCATTGATTTTTCCCTCCATACACAGCTAAGGCGAAATAAATATTTTTTCTCCAGCTTTCGTTTTGTTATGCATGAGAATCAGAAGCGACCGACAGACGGTAAGCACATCGCACATATACGACTATTTTATATGTATCTCTGGTGTGCGCTTTTTTCTTGAAGTAGCAAGCAAACAATTATCGGTAGTGGTGTGCGCTCAATATGTGCGTATCAAGTACATTCAATGTGGTTCAGTTTGTCTTGAATGGTGGTAACGTGTAGTGGAACCGGTGTGAGGAAGAGAAAGAGTAAGTAAGAGAGAGAACGATTTAGAGTGTAATGACGATGGCACATCAGCAAGTTCTCATATTGCCACGAAATGTGCCCCGTTTTCATTCTATTGTGTGTGTGTGTATATATTTCTTATTTTGCCGTTATTACGATTATTATTATTTTTTTCCACACCTTGAAAATCCATTGTAATCTATGATGACATGCTATGTTGCGAGCATACAGTGTACAATGTACATACCAGACCTATTTATATTCCGTTTGATCTATGTTAGCCTTCAAAAGAGTCCATTATCATTGCCGACAACATACATCAATATGTTTTGTGTTTGTGTGCATGTGTGTTATAATGATCGTGTTGGAATTGGCGTATAAGACATTCCATGGTGCTTGGTTCGGTTTTTGATACTGGCACTTTAGCATTAGCTATGTGACTTCAATTCAAAGCTTCTTATGAATATGCACGAGGAAAATAATAAGCAAAATGTGCATGCAATAACAGATGATTTTCATGATGTTGTATGTGACTTATTTGCTCGAAATTTACGTTTCGATTGCATTTCGAAACGTTGAGGTCGTCAGCCGTAACTATCGTGTTGGATGCAACTACATCGCCCCAAGAAATTGTACATTCATATTTCGGTATTCCTTTTCTTACTTTTTCTATTCCCGTGAAAAACGTTATTTCATGTTTCAAATACGAATGAGCAACGAAAAAGAGACGAAAAACACCAACGAATGCAACTCTTTTTCTGCACTTAAACTCAATTTCTTTTCCGATTTTTGTTTTCTTTTGCTCTGTTCCACTTTTCTTTCAAGTCAGTATTTGTTTTTTTTTTATCATTTAAATTTTTCATAGAGAAATATCTGATAGAGAAATTAATTGAAAAAGCTTCTGCTTTAAAAGAGGAAGTTGTAAAAAGTGAAGAGAGAGAAAAAAATCTGAAGACCGATTCATAAACAAAAAAAAATGCTATTATTACATTCGCGTAACGGACGACAAAAGTTGATCGGCATGCAAAAGATGAAGAAAAAAAAGCACAATGTGTGGATGTAGCATGTTTCACCGTGAATGCTTATAAGCCATAGCATTTGGTTATACAATATTTGCTGTTATATAAGTTGTATCTCACACATGTGCTGATACATTTTTTTCGCTCTGTTATGAGCTTACAAAGAGCCGCCTCACAATGACACTTTTCCAATCTATCGTTACTATAATTGTGAGTGGCAAATGTAGCGAGCGCCTCTCCCTCTCTGTGTTTGTGTGTTGTTTGATTTGATAGCAGCCTGATAATAAATCTATGCGAAAACCGATTCATTGACATGTGTCTCGTATACGGCAAACAAACATATAGACGCGTACGTACAATATTGCCGCTGTAAAAATGGTATTTTTTGTACATCCATGTCATGTATATGCATATCTCATATAATATACTTGCGTATCACGTACTTGTGTAACAATAACACATTCGGGAGATTTTTATGAACATGCAATCATTTGGGACGACAACGGTATATTCAGGAAGTAAGCAAAATGCTTGAAAAAAAAAATCACACACATACACATCATATATATATTGAACGGCAGATGTTTTATTTTCATTTTGGTAAAATAAATGAAAACTCTTTGGCTTTTTGATTGATGGGGGCCGATTTACGAGGCCAAGTCTATTCCATGTATATCGAATGTTATGAATATCGATTCGGCGATACAGAATAAACGAATAGAGACAGTGAAAAGAAAATCATAGTTAAGCATACGAGTGGATGTGTGTGTGTATGCTTAAATACCTTTTCGGATCCCAATCGCCGAAGTTTGAATAAAGGCAACCTGATTTTGGTGTGTTCATCATCGGCAACAATTTCTGTAATCCATAGATAAAAGCATTTTTCCCGGTATAACTTTTTTATTGTGTGCTGAAGAGAGGGGAAAGAGGAAAAAAACACGAAGAAGAATGACGATGCAGAGACGAAAAGTCAATCAAAATATTGCAAACGATTGAGCACATATAGCACATACACTTTCAAATCCATACTGAAAATACCGGCAAAATGCTATTTGCCGTGAAAATGTTGAGCTTTTCTATGCACTGTTGCTGTTACACACAATACATCAACCAAAGCAACATTATTGGAATGCAATGTTAAGAATGACAAAGAAAAAAGAACGACGGCGTGAGAGATGGGACGCGCAATCAAATGTTGTGTAAATGTATCACACTGAATAATATTTTATGAATGAGAATGATTGTTGAATGGCCATTTGTTAAGAATATGTCGCGCACTACATGTCGCTTCAATTTCATTTTCACTAATGAAGGACTTTTGTAGTTGCAAACAATCGACTTGAATTAATTTATTTGCGAAAGTTCGAGTATGCGTGCGCGTGTGTGTGTGTTCGTGTGTGTGCATCATTCGATATTTTGAGTAAATACTTAAGTTCCTCATTCAGAGTGTTTTTCACTACTTAAGTCAAGAGCTATGCTGTATATGTGGATAATATCTTGACATTAAGTGAATGCGATGAATATCGATGCGATAATTATGTGTATTGCCTTCTGCTATGTACATATAATTCATGTGTTAAGAAACGGCATAATGAAGTTCGAACGAATGGCATGTTTGTGT